GACTAGAGTTGTTGGGAACAATCATGATCCTTCTAGAAACCCATGACGTGTTACCAGTGTCACGTGACTACCGTTATCGTAACAATATATATGGTTTTAACTACATTTACTATTTGCATGCAAATATTTAAATGCAACCCTCTCTATCTAATTCCATATGGATTTTCAAAAAGTAGAAGGGTGTATAATAATAGTATTCCAACCACTCTATATTTGTCATATACATTTCCGACAATGTGTTTCGCTCAATCCAGAACTCTTCACGCAGGCTGGGATACAAGAAACCCAGCAATGGTCAGAACACCTTTTATATAAGCCATTTGATACAACAACTATTGTTATGTTATAGCGAAGAATAGTTACAATTATATTTGTCATAAGACATAGTATTAGGCCTATTACGTTTTTAAACACTACTTTCATTATCTGTTCCCTATTTCAATAATTAGAAGAGTGTATTTCAACCACACTATATTTGTCATGTCCATAACTGAATATATACAATAATTTGCTATGATTCTGTGTACACGTAGGAAAGAGGATCATCACAGTTTGAAATACTTTCAAATAAATACCCAGCCGAAAAGTTTGAGACTCCCTGTAGAATGGGTCATTATTGGTTCTACACTGGAACTTTATCTCAGTTTGCTACTTGTATCAATCTACCTTCTGTTTCTAGAACTGAATTTGATAATGAAGTGATTGGTGTAGTCAAGGAAGATCCTGCAGTAAAAGGGGGTTTAGTGAAAGCTCTATTTCATTATCCCCAAGATAGACCCACTTTTGACACCAGTGTTGCAGCATTCTATCCTTAGGCCTGTTTCAGGTAAAATATTTATGATCAAAGTAGAAGACATTGATTTTTTTGCTTATTTAGATCTTCCAGTTTTATTGATTCATCATGTTCGACATTTTCTTAGCTTTTAAATATTCAAGTTGCATTGACATACTGTTTATGAAAATGCTTTTTCATTGAGATAAAAAATACTTGTTTCTCCTGTGCTATCTCTGATAATCAGCAGAGCAGAGAACTTAGGCTCGCTTTCAACTGAAGGTTCTCGGATTTTGGGCTTAAGTATTCATTTCCTGACAAGCTACAACTGATAGATTGCAAATAATGAGACCAGACACAAGTTTATACAAACATTGAATAGCTACTGAAGAAAAACAAATCATTTTAAACCTGGAGTGTTACATATAGGTTTCAGACCATTATTATGAGAAAAGAGACACAATCATTTTTTATTGGCATTATATGAAATACAACAAAAATAAAAAGTAAACCAAGGGCGTAAATCAACACTGCACTAAATCTGCTCACCCTCAAGAAGGTCATTGGTAATATAGAAATTTCATTTGTCCCAATTGTATAGAAACCAGTAAGCAGCATAAGCTACCATCTACCTTGGAATTGGACAGGTGGGCAATCACACTCGAAAATATAATTACAGGCAAAGGCATTAGAACCAAGATAAGATCCAAGTTATGAGGATACAGAAATCAGATGGAATATTCAAATTTTATTCTGCTTTATTAGCCATGAAAAACTTCTAAAGTCATGCAAAATACTTGCTTGCGTTCTGCAGAAAACTATTAAAAACAAAGTTGGTGCAAATTGAGCCATTGTTATCTTGCATAAACAACTTCAGAAACTTTGGAATAAGTTTGACGAAATTTGGAAAAAAGTCAACAAATTAAAAAAGCGCTGAACTTTGAAGAGTCCAAGCAACTAAAGCAGGTCAGAGTACTCACTTGATACTACAGGAAAGTTCTTTTGAAATGCATAGATTGCTTGCCGAGAGCTGTAGAAGATTAGTTTGAACAGTAAGGATTACATTCACTTATTTGTCTGGAAAATCTTATTCTGAAATCTGCTAGCAGCAAACAGAAGTTAACCAATAATGACGCAATCACAGCTCTTATAATTCATAAGGAATATTTCAAGGTGGAGACACTTGCAACAGAACTGGCCATGTTTTCAGTCGTGAATCCGAAATTCAGTACCCCAATTACGAGGAAGGTTTTATAACCTAACCACTATTGCTGATATTGCAGTTGCACTTGTGAAAAAGTCACACCCTCATGAAGGACCTTTTTTTTCTTTCTCTTTACAGAGTATGCAATTGTATTTAACAGCACCTGCCTGGTCTACTACTGCTGAGGGTAGTTTCAGTGTACGGACATATTTGAAACGTATCTGTGAATAACAATGAAGCAGTACTGACTAATATATTCGACTGACAGTTCTTGTGCAAATATTTAACAAAATAATAAGTTGACGACCCCAACGTTTTAAAATACAGAAACACATTAGAGTCGTCAACCTATTACTTTATTAAATACTGACTAACACACTTGAAGCTGCTTCATGTCCATGGTAAGTAAGCAGGTTGAAATGATCTCCAGAATATCTGTTGACAGAGAATATCTTGC